CTCAGCCTTCCATCCTTCCGGGGTGGGTAAAATTTGGACCCAGATGGTTGGGGGCAATATTCTGACTCTCTGTAAACCGCTTAGAGAGGCCTGAAAGGCCTATGAAGCGGTATATAAGTCTACTGCTATTGCTATTACAATTTGGCAACAACTTTTGGAAATTTCCAAGGTGGCCACATTCAAAAGCTGCAGGGTGGGAGGGCATGCGTGCATGCACACGTGGCCCTTGGCATCAGTTTCTCAACATATGTGCCGTTTAGGTTTAGACATATGTACTAGCCACAAGAATTCTGTCTGCCACATGTCAGGATACATCTTTGATCCACAGGAGAATCAATCCGGACACTTGCAGTGACCTCCTCTGAGACAGGTAGAGAAAGTATTCACAGTGTAGGAGTGCTGCCACTGATACTCAAACTTAGGAAACCATAGTAAAATAGTGTTGATGAAGTGGGAGAGGAAGCAGGGTTTGTATAAGCCGGGGGTATCTGTCCTAAAGGAAGGGGTGATTAATCTCCTTTGTTATAAGCCAGATTGCATTTTCAAATGTCTCTTGAAATTAGCATTACACACAGACATTGAAAAAAAAGCAATGCCATTCTTCTGTTGTATATGTCCTCCCCACTCCCTTAACAATTTTTTTCTACATCCTGCAGCGAAATTGACAAAACTCTGGAGAGCATGTCCAACCATAGGAGAAATAAGTGGATCATTGAGGGAAAGTTGCGCAGGTATGGATCTGTAGAATTAATTTTGGCCTGCTGTATTCTATCTATGGGAACACGGTGACAATAAGAGGAATCAAAAACATACTGATCATAAATCTATTTAATGTGAAAATCACAGTAGTATGCAATCTTATTGTGACCCTAGGAATCTACAACATTTCATCTACCAGAGAATTTAGGAATAACAACTTTTTCTCCTGTTCTTCCCTTTTACTATATGGATCATCTAAACCCTTTGTAGTAGGGCAGTAATGGCGAACCTTTTTGGCACCGAGTGCCCAAACTGGAACACGTGTGCATGTGTGTGTGTGCGCGTGTGCGTACTGGAGTGCCAGAAACCCAAAGACAAGCTGGCCCATGCGCACATGCCTGTTTTGGGGGCATTTTTCAGGCATTTTTCCAGCACTCTGGCACCCGCAAAGAACAGAAACCAGACAAACAGCTGACCGCTGCGCCTGTATCCACAGAGAGGGCTCAGCATGCCACCGCTGGCATGTATGCCATAGGTTCGCCATCACGGTAGTAGGGTAATGTCCCTTTTCTTTACATTTCTTGTTCTTGTTTTATTGAAGATTAAAGATTGCTCTAGCTAAGAAGACTGGACGTCCTGAATCAGAAATCACTGGTTTGGAGGAAGGACGATGGCGACGGAGCTCCCGCATCATTGATGAAAATGAGGACAAAGAAATAGAAGAAGAGGAGAGAAGAAGAGCATGCAAAACCCGGAGAGAGAGTGAAGTAGGTTTTAGCACAACTGAGTCAATGAGGAATATGATGTGTTCTTGAATCTTTGCTCTAATAATGATAACATGTTTGGACAGAATTATCTTACTCTCTTAACGCAACAAATACTGAATAATTGGAACCCTATATTTATGTCACAACTTCTGACATAAAAATTATTTTTTTTTAGGAAAGGATGTTTGAGGATTTCTACTGCAAGCACCATAATATTCTTTTTTTAAATTCCTAGAAGGGTTTTCTGCATATTCTTTGTCTTTAAATGAAATTTGCCTTTTCCTAAAGAGTTATAGCTGTCAACAAATACAGGTGTCATACTTCCCTCTTGGCCTTTTAACGGGAAACATTTCAACTGCCAAGAGAATCAAAAGAGTTAATGTTTTACGTTTGGGAGGTACAATGTTTTCAAAACAAAACTTATTTGAGGAGGTAATCAGGAGTCTGGTTTTAATTTGTCTCCTCTTTCCACAGAACGAAAGTTTGATTTCCAGCGTGCCAGAGCTAGAGAGGCAAATTGAAAAAATTTCCAAGGTAAATGTTTGCTGTTGAAAAAAATAAATAGAATAGAATAGAAGACTTGTAGCTTCTGCTAGATGTAGCAGTGAGCATTGGGATTTCCTATAAAGGTGATAGGTGGAAACATGTCACTCTTTTCTCTGGTAATTAAAGTTTAAAACAATAACTCTTTCTTTTACATTCTTGGTGTTCTGATTTTTCCTGCAGCGCCAGATGTTCTTTCGCAAAAAGCTGCTCCATTCCTCACAATTGTTACGCGCATCATCACTTGGGCAAGATCGTTATCGACGGCGGTATTGGGTCCTGCCCCACCTAGGTGGGATCTTTATAGAAGGCTGTGAGGCCTCAGAAGGTATGCAGAGCATAGAACGTGGGTATGGGTGGTTCCTTCTTAAGGGAGGGAGGATTACTTTCATTGGCATAGATCTGTTGATAGTGAATAGCATGGTAGCCTAGTGGTGAAGACACCTCCCATTCAGGAGGTTGAGAATTCAATCCTTGGTAGCAGCAGGTACTTTTCTTCTAGGAAGCAAAGAAAAAATAACTGCTGTTAACTTTGGGTGGCGTCAGGAAGGGTATCTGGCCAGCAAACTCTCAGCTCTATCCAGTCACCCTGACTCTATCCCAAATCAAGGGATTACAGGGTCGTAAAAAGAGGGTTTAGATGCTGTTGGTAATGTACTGTGTTGCTTCACTGGGACATCTAGATTCTGTTGCCTCTTTCACTTCAGTAGGTTTGAGCACCACCTAGTGGTGAAAGTTACCCAACTTTCTCTGTTGTTTCCCTAAGCAGCGTCCCTCCCGGTGTCTAAGAACGCATTGGAAAGGGGAGAGGCTCTGAAAGAGGAAGAACATGAAGCACCGTCAATCAAAAAGGAGAACACTGACGCACCCTCAGATCCTGATTATATGAACTGCACAACTTCAAGATCGTGGAGTTGGCCGTGGAGAGGCAACGTAGGCATGTCACCGCCAGAGCATCTGGAATCCAAGTTGCCAGAGCCCACACCCTTGTCTGTCAATGGATTTTTGGAAGATCCAGTGTCCCTGGGCCAGTCTCAGCATGACCTCAGTCAGTCAGCCTTTCTATCTTGGCTCAGCCAAACACAGCAAGCCTCTTCGTTGTTTAACAGCTCTGTGCTCACCCCAGACAGTAGCCCTGGCAAAGGGGATCAGTTACCCCCGGACGAACTGCCGGACTCTACAGCAGATGATGAAAGTATCACAGAAACACAGGTGACCTGGTTCAATTTGCTGCCTAGGACGCCATGCAATGACTCTTCGCTTGCTCCTTCCACCGAGCGACCCTCTCGAACGTCACAGCTCTGCAAGCCACCTACCAAGGACCCGTCCAAGACTTTAGCTCAGCAGGTGAGTGCTGCCTTAGAAGCTTCTCCTTAGGAAATGCAAGCTCCACTTCTAACCTGGGGTGAATCAGCAGAAGGAAATTGTTCCTGCAGATATGGAGAAGTTCAGGGTAAAGCTTTATTCATTTCTGAGACAGAGGCTTAGACCTTTTTGGGGTTGGAGATCCCATCATGTAAGATTCATTTCCTTAAGAATGGTGTGGCTTTTGTAGGGAAGACATTTAACGTTTCTTTTCTTTTTAAAAAAAAGGTCTTTAGAAGAACAAAACAAGTTGGAAAATTCTATGGCATAAATGAAGAGTGGGAGAGCCTTGGCTTGACAGTAGTACCCGTGAAAGACTTTTGAGTGTCTTTCTTGACTGCAAGTTAAAGTTGAGCCAATAGTTGATACAACTGCTAAAAAGACAAATGCTGTCTTGGGGTACATTAACAGAAGCATAGAGTCCAGATAACAGAAGAGAGTTGTTCTACTCTACCTTGATCAGACCCCATGTGGGGTACTGAGTTCAGTTCTAGAAGAACCAGTCAGAAATGGCAGTGACAAATTAGAGCAAGTTCTGAAGAAGGCTACCTTGATGGCAAAGAATCTGGAAACCAAACCCTATGAGAACCCTTAAAGGTTATGGCTAGGTTTAGCCTAGTAAAAAGATGACTGAGCGGGAGATACAACAGCAGTCTTAAAATATCTGAAGAGCCATTAAACAGAAAAAGGAGAGGACTTATTTTCTGTAAGCCTTTAAACGTGGGTTAAAAATACGTGGATGGAGGGTCAGACTAATATCAGGAGGAACTCCCTGAATCTATCAGCTGTCAGCCAGTGAAACAAAACACCAAATAAAGTGGTGGTGGTGGTGATGATGATCACTAGCAGTCTTCAAACAGAGTCCAGGTGGTCATCTGTCAAAGATGTTTTAGAGAATCCTGTACTGATCAAGGGAATGGATGTGGCATCCTCTAAGCTTCCTTCCAATTCTCTAATGATGTTATTCTTTTGTAAACGTTGTTATGCTTCTTGTAGCAATGCATAATGCAAATGCTTTTTGAATTTTCCCTCCCACAGCTGAATGGCTATTCCACCTCTAGCCCAGCATTGCCACCACTGTCCTCTACTCCATTGCATTCCAGCTCCAGGGTTCACAGCACCTGCTCCAGAGCCAAGGATAATTCCAAAAAGACCCTTGAACCTTTGGGGCAGCCAAGGCGAAGGGGGCGACCCCCCACTAAACTTTTTAAACAAATTGAGCAGAAATATTTGACACAGCTGACAGCACAGCCTATACCTCCTGGTAAGTCACAAACACATCTGCAAGTTTTTGGTCCATATACTGGATTATTTGAAGGCATGACAGAGAAAGAGAGTATGAAAAAATTATGTTTTATGTTTTGCAAAAGCACAGCTGGGAGAATTAGTTCAGTGTCACGTGTAGATGATGCACAACTAAGTTTTGCCCCATTCAGTAACTAAGGTAGAATAAACTTTTTATGATGGGGAAACATGCTTTTTTAACACACACACACACAAATATATACATTTTTGTCAGTATATACAAAACTGTGGATAACACTGGATATGCCATGATGTCAAGCATCTTGATGAAAGTAGTAGTGGTTATTTGGTTGCTAAGTGGATAACATCTTCACTGCACTCTGATGATGAGATGTAATTGGGTAATGAAAACATCTGCAAATGAACAACCAAGCTCAGAGAGCACCAAGGATTCCACGGTGAACATCCTGAGAATATCCTGAGCCATAGATATTGGCTTCTATTGGCATTGGCAATTTTGGGAAGGTGTTAGGCTCAGAGCTCGTTCTGTTCTTCCCTTGCAGAGCTGCAGAGTGGCTGGTGGTGGTTGCAGGATCCAGAGCAGCTGGAAGCTGTGGTGGAGGTACTACACCCACGAGGCATCCGGGAGAAAGCCCTGCATAAGCACCTTACCAAACACAAGGATTACCTACGGGATGTGTGTGCCCGAGCTGCCAATGGTAAGAAATATCCAATCAATGGTCCAGTGCCTATGAGCGCAAGTGTGATCTTTTTGATTGACTTTTATGACCTTCCTACCTAGATCCCATCTTCCGGATTCATTCTGAGGTTGCCAGTCACCTTATCTCTCAAGAAGCCCTTGTGCAGTGGTCCATGTCTGAGCATGCCCTTGAGATGGACCTATCGGTGCTTCAGTGGGTGGAAGAGCTTGAGCAGCGGGTACTCATGGCTGATCTGCAGATTCGAGTAAGTGCTAAGATTCTGTGGAAACCGCGCTTCTGTTGACAATAGTATACCCTTTTCACCAGGGTCCCAAAGGTGCTTTTTCAAGAGGCTTTTCAACTGGACTCTGGTTTTTCTTTGAAGATATTTTCGCTTTTCGTCCAATAAGCTTCTTCAGCTCTGTTTCTTGGATGAGAAGCAAAATGTCTTCAAAGAAAAAACAAGACAGTCCAGTTGCCTCTTGAAAAAGCACTTTTAGGACAACAGTGACCTGGATGACTGATAATCTCCATAGACACCTGACTAGGGTATTGAAGGATGCTTAGATTCCAAAGGTTAACCTGAAAATAATCATTCAGTGCTAAACGAAATTAAGTTTGAGGATTAGAACTCAGAGGACTAGACTAGACATCTAGGCCATCTGAAAAAAAGTCATTCTTAACTTACTGATGTACTCTCTTGATAGATAGTTGCACTGAATTAGAATCTGTGCAGCTATATGAATCTGCAAAATATGACTTGATTTTAGATTCTAAGTATTTTGAATATAGTTACTTTTCAAGTGTAATTTACCTTGGCAAATTACAGTTGCATGAACACTTGCTTCCCTGTAGTCATAATTTAGGTTTTCTTGTTTAGATAAATAGACTTTATTTTGGAAGTGTTCTTCATTCTAGAATACTAGAACTCCTTCTAAATCTTACTGAGAACATTCCAAATTGCTTCTGACAGTTCCCAGTTTGTGGTGTAATTATTTCTTCTGAATATTTTTTGTTTATCATTTTGGTTTGGATCTTTTGCCTTCTCTCTAGGGCTGGACGAGCCCAGATCCTGATTCTGTTAGGAAAGACTTGCGGTACTGTGAACGTGAAGTAGAACTCCTGGAAGACATCACCGTAAAAAACAGGCGAGAGGGACCTGCCCTGGAGCGTGAATCTAACAACCCTCTGGATCTTGCGGTGCTCCGTCTTGAAGACCTGGAGCAGAACTTGGAACGGAGATACCTCAGAGAACCTCTCTGGCCTGCGCATGATGTAGTGGTAGAAAAAGCTTTGCTGAATAACCCTGATACCTTGGAGCAGGGTACCACAGAAATGTGAGTGTCTTCTTTTATGATTATGACTGTATTGGCGAATTTATAAACATGATTCTATATCCCAAGTTGTTAAAAACAGTGGCTTAGGAATCCCAAAATCAGTTATTTGGGTTTTTACCATGTTTTCCCGAAAATACTCAGAAAGTAAGTCCTAGCTTGATTTTATACATGCACCCAATATAAGCCCTATCCCCCAAAATAAGCCCTAATTAAGACCACCATCACCCCACCCACTGCAGGGTGCACAGGTAAAAATTAAGCTAGGGTAGGGATGGGGTGATGGAGCTGCCCTGCTACTTACCTTCAGATAGTTGCAGCCAGGCCTTGCACACTTTGACCCATTTCTTTTGCTACCGCCAACAAGGCTTCCCTGAAGGCCTCTGTAGCCGATAACAGAGCCCCGTATTGATCCGGAGCTCTATTATTGGCTGAAGAGGCCTTCAGGAAAGCCTTGCTGGGCTTGCCGGATGAAGACGTTCCTGTATATAAAACAGGGTCTTATTTTTGGGAACACATGGTATATTTCAGTAGACTGGCATGGTATGAACTTTTTAGAATGATTGATTTTCAGACCAATTGCCAGATTTAAGATTATAGTGGGATATGAAAAGACAACACTGCTGGTTTTTTTTTGGCAATGTCAGCTAATTCACAGAGGAGCAGAATTTATTGGGATAGAACCGAGTACAGGTAGTCCCTGCTTAACAACCAGTCATTTTATGACCACTTGAAATTATGATGGCCATGAAATGGGTTCTTAATGGCCTGAATAGCATCCACATCTATCGTAAATGGATGTTTCCCCCACCCTGGCACAATCACATGACCACATGTTGAGCAAGTTAACTTGATGACCATGGTGTTCTACAATCATGCGACTTCAACTAGTTTCTAGTTGAAACTATTTTGCTAGTTTCCAGAAAAAAATGCCCATTCAAATAAAGTTCTCCAAAAGAGCATGGCAATCACTTAAAAATTGTTATAAAACAGGTTGGAAAATACATTAGCACCAGGTAAAAGCAATGGAACCTTTCTACTGAATGTATGAAAGTAATACTTGTATGTTGATAATGTATGTTAAATAATTCAGTAGACTGTAGCATTTAATTTTGTAATATTTTAAATTTGCCAGAAAATTTTAGCATTCTTCAAATGGCTAACATTTACTAAAAATATACATGTTCATGAGCTAAGGCATTTTAGGAACTAATCTTTGGAAGATTTTGGGAACTAAAAATAAAAGGAAGTTTAAGTGACCAGACAAGGCAATCTCTAATCTAGTTCTTTGTGGTCTTTGGAACACAAATTGTATTGCTGCATCTAAACAGAGTAGGATTATCTACCTTATTTTTCAGAATATAAGACATACTTCCCCCCCCCCCTAAAAGCGGGTTAAAATTTGGGTGTGTCTTATACGCCAAATGTAGTCCCGCCCATAAACTCAACTAAACTCAACTTTGGCCTCTGCCTCCCGGCAGTTTGCTTCCTTACAGCAAACAGCCTGTTTCAGCTTCAGCACAGCTTGATTAGCACAAGCAGCTGATTGCTGGTTGGATTGGCCATCGCCTATTGCTGCCTCCATGCACCCCATTTTTGGCCTCCATGTGCCCCATTTTCCACCCATTCTTATCCCCACCACCTGAAATGGGTGGAAAACGAGGC